GTTAAGAATCTGAGACTAAAGACCATAATACTTGTTTATACTGAAATTTTATGAAATCAATCTTTCTATGCTTAGGAAAGTGACTATAACTGAGCTAATCTGCAGTGCAATAACATACAATATTTCAAGTACACTGAAATAACAAGTTTTCCCTTTGTCTATATTCTTAATAGGGTTAAGAATCTGAGACTAAAGACCATAATACTTGTTATACTGAAGCTCTTAGAAACCAATCATTGTATGCTTGAACAAATGATTATAACTGAACTAATCTGCAGTGTAATAACATACAATATTTTAATTACACTGAATAACAAATTTTCCCTTTGTGTATATTCTTATTATAGGGTTAAGTATCAGAGACTAAAGACCATAATACTTGTTTATATTGAAATTTTATGAAATCAATCTTTCTATGCTTAGGAAAGTGACTATAACTGAGCTAATCTGCAGTGCAATAACATACAATATTTCAAGTACACTGAAATAACAAATTTTCCTTTTGTCTATATTCTTAATAGGGTTAAGTATCTGAGACTAAAGACCATAATACTTGTTATACTGAAATTTTATGAAATCAATCTTTCTATGTTTAGAAAAATGGCGGCAATTGAATAAACTTATCTTATAATAATATATAATACTTCAATTACTAACTAAGATACAAAATTTTCTCTGTTAAGTACCCATAACAAAATGAGTTATCAGGCAGTAACAATAATAGCATGTACTATACTCAAATGACCAAAAATCAATCTGTATATAAATATATAAACAATTAATGACAACTGAAAAAATTTATGTTACAATATAACATTTTCATTATCAATTAAAATGAAAAATTTTCTTTTCATTTGCCAACTATAGCATTATACTATACTCAAACTCCCAAAAATCAATCTTCATATGTATATACAAACAATGACAACCAAAACAAATCTACATTAAAATAACAAATAATATCATAATTACACCAAAATAACAAAATATTCTGCTCTTAAATAATCCCAATAATATTCACTATAAAACCAGTTACAAAACTGTTGCAACATGAGAAGGAGGCTAATCTAATGGATGAAGTTGAAAGGTCGAGGTTTATTTTAAACTTTAGACAATTGAGTCAGCGTTTCAAAATTTCCCTGACGAGCAGACAATTATTATTCATGAGCATAACTAAGCATTCAAAGTGTTTCCATTGAATTCCAAACTTATGTGGCTAGACTGCTGTATGGGGAAGGCTCTTCTCGTAGATATGGAGAATCTCATTGTATCGCTTGTTTTGAACAGTAGGCTTGATACGGAAATCGGTGGCGCCTCAGACCACTTAATCGACGAAATGTCAAAGGTGAAGCTACACTTTATGCTGTTCTGCAAAAGTGAATCACTCTGAAATACACTTAAACTCGTTACAATATTCCGATAATCCTCTCAGTAAGCTCCAAGTGCCAAAAATCATCGACAGCTTTCGACATACAAGCGTAATACGAAAATTAAAAAAAATTTTTTTTTTTTTTTAAATAAAAATTCACTATACCTCACAATCGCCTAACTAAGATTAGTGTACATAATTTAGTCGAAAGAAAATATGGCGAAATTTGATTCGGTAACAAAAATTCAAACAAATTTTGTTTTAATAAAAATTCACTATACCTCACAATCGCCTAACTAAAATTAGTTTACATAATTTAGTTAAAAGAAAATATGGCGAAATTGGATTCGGTATCTCTGTATTTTCCAAATACATGGCATTCTACAGCTTTTTCGAATATCTAACTGAATAATCTTAAATTATTACCAATTAGTGAGTATGTTTTTAGATTAGATTGTCATTAGTGATAATTTTTAATTGTTTCTAATTTATGCAAATTTGTAAAAACATATGTTTTCAATTAGTTTAATAATTTACGTTTTAGATATATTTCACATTTTACTACGAAACTGGAAAGTGTAAATAGCCATTGTTTCTATATGCAATATTCGAAGAGTGAAATAATTAATGCATCTAATTAAGAATTCTACGTATAATAAAATTCCAATTAAATTGCAAAGGCAGAATAATCCCACATGGCTGCAAAACCGAAGAAGGTATATAACAGAACGTGAAATCATAAATTAAAATTAATTATTGCAATCATGATCTAATCATCAAATTTTATTTCATCCATAATAGTTTCAAAAATCTTATTTTCCTCATACTATACTTCAAAATCAAAATTCTACAAAAATAATCCACCAAAAATGTCATTAACCCTGAAACTACCACAGGGGTCAAAACAATTTCTCTCAGATATTTTATTTCTACAATTTCTGAGAAAATATAAACTGCTTTTGACAAAATTCATACTTAATTCTTAATTAGTTATTATTTTTTTATTATTATTATTTAATAGTTATTCGTCTTCCTTATACTATCAAAATTATCTTCCTTCGTGTATAATATACCTATCTACTCATTATAGGTCGTTAGTTCTAATATTAATGACCAAACTGAAAAAATCTCGAAATTGCAAGAATTAAACTCTCAAGGACACCGAAAACGGCCTAAGCCCACCGTAGTGGAAAGGTCGAATAATTCTCCGTAAAATTCGAGCAAATGAAATTAAGAATGCATATGTGTACACACGCAGCTCAGTAGGATAATTTTGTTAACCTAATCAGCTTAAAGGATACTAGGACCGATAATCGTCCAACGCGAACTAATTTCCCCGTAGTCGCCACTTAATACTAATGAACACGGAGAAGATCAACGGGAACTCTGGGAATAAGTCGAAAGAGGACGAAAGAAACCTGAAAAGCAACACGTTCGATCGAGCAGCGATCTCGAAGGCCTCGTTCGGCTTCCCGGGAGTCCTTCCGCTAGACCCCAAGGCGCAATTCCTATAACCTCGAAAGTACACCATAAAATACCTATCTCTCTGTCTCGTTCGCCAAGATCCTCATCATCGAGGCCCTCCCAATACACTATCACGCGTGGATTAGATTATTTCACGATTCATCTATGAACACCGGATTCTGACCGCGATACAAGATGCATAAGCCTCTGTTATCGTGAAAGAATTGACAGTGAGCACCAAAGATCCGAATATCACGCGTGGATTAGGTTATTTCACGATTGGACTATTGTCAGTGGACTCTGATACTGGCACAAGACTCACAGTGCTCTGTCATTGTGATCGAATTGACAATAATTAGCAAAGATCCGAATATTAGGAGTGAATTACGCTATTTCACGATCCACTTATCGACACTGGCCTCTGATAGTGATACAAAATTCGTAGACCTCTGTCATCGTGATCGAATTGACAGTAAGTACCAAAGACCCGAATATCACGCGTGGATTAGGTTATTTCACGATTTGGCTATTGACACTGGACCCTGATACTGGTACAAGATTCACAGTGTTCTGTCATTGTAAATGAATTGACAATAATTAGCAAAGATCTGAGTATCACGAGTGGGTTACGTCGATTATGTTATTTCACGATCCACCTATTCACACTGGTCTTTGACAGTGATATAAGAATCATAGTGCTCTGTCATTGTCATCGAATTGACAATAATTAGCAAAGATCCGAATATTATGAGTGAATTACGCTATCTCACGATGCACCTATCGACACTGGCCTTTGACAGTGATATAAGACTCATGGGCCTCTGTCATCGTAATTGAATTGACAATAATCAGCAAAGACCCGAATGTCATGCGTGGATTAGGTTATTTTACGATCCACCTATGATCACCGGATTTTGATAGCGATACAAGGTGCATAGGCTTCTGTCATCATGATGGAATTGACAGTAATTACCAAAGACCCGAATATCACGCATGGATTACGTTATTTCACGATTCGGCTATTGACACTGGACCCTGATACTGGCACAAGACTCACAGTGCTCTGTCATTGTGATCGAATTGACAATAATTAGCTAAGATCCGAATATTAGGAGTGAATTACGCTATTTCACGATCCACTTATCGACACTGGCCTCTGATAGTGGTACAAGATGCATAGACCTCTGTCATCGTAATCTAATTGACAATAATTACCAAAGACCCGAATATCACGCGTGGATTACGTTATCTTACGATTCGCCTATTGACACTGGCCAATAATACTGGCACAAGACTCACAGTGCTCTGTCATTGTAAATTAGCAAAGATCTGAGTATCACGAGTGGGTTACGTCGATTATGTTATTTCACGATGCACCTATCGACACCAACACTTGATATTGGTACAAGACTCACGGCCTATCGTCATCGTAATCAAATTGACAATAATTAGCAAAGATCTGTGAATTAATGCGCATGAATTAGATTATTTCACGATCCCATACCGGCTCCTGATACTGACATAAGACTAACAGGTCTGTCATCGTAATGGAATTAACAATAATTTTCCTAAACAACCAAATATCACGCGTTTATTACATTATTTCACGATCCGTCTATCCACATCGGCCTCTGATAGTGGCACAAGACTCGCAGTCCCCTGTCATCGTAATCAAACAGCCGATAATTACCAAAGACGCGAATAACCCGCGAAAGACACGCCGCCGAATGCAATTCACACCCGGGAGCCAGCTACCCAGTCTCATCAAGCAGACAAACGTACAGCGAACGTAATATACCTAAACTTCCGTGAGACCAAGTACCACGTCTAAACCACGTCAACGAAACGAAGCCACGATCGATGTCATACACCATATGCTACCAATGCAACCCTCTCGAGGGCAATTAGCAGCGGGCTAATAGAACCTCCCGTGTACGTCTCACGCATCAGACCCTCTACCCCTAGCCCAAACTAGCCTGCTACTCGATCCACCCCTCTACTCACCATCTTCTTCCAAAACTCTTCCCCAACGCTTCCGAAATTCCAACTCCCGAGTCACCCGGACACGGTGTGCCTTCGTGTGAGACACAGGCTATAGCGAGACACGAGCCTCGAGGCGTAGACACCCAGGCAGCGAGTATAGGAGACTAAAGAGACGGGTACTCACCTTGACGAAATGCAGGTTCTCCTTGTCGAGGAGGAACTCCATGGATTTGTGTGGCCGTTGGTTGATGGTGGACGCGGCGTCGTCGTCGCGGGGGCTCCTGTGCGAAGCGGCGACAGGCGACTGGGGTACATGGAGGGCGTGCTCGGGCCTGGGTCGCGGGGCGGCCGAGGTGTGATTCAGATTGAGCAGGCTCCTGGTCTTCTTGCCGGCGGCGTTCGCGGAGGCGGAAGCGGCGGCGACGCTGGACGTCGTCGTCGTCGACGGCACGGCCTCGTCGAGGTCGGTCTCGAGCAGGCCGACCGGGCGCTCCTGGGCGGCCTGCATCGTGCGGGCTTTCGCCATCTCGATGGCCGCCGGATTTCCAAGGTCCGTGGCCGCGCGTCGGCGCGACGAACACGCCGCCGCCGCCGCCGCCGACGCGCCCGTCGACGGTCTCGAGCCCAGCGCCCCGACACGGGGCGGCTGCGGAGGCAGGGGCGGCTTGCTGGACACTGGCGCCCTCCCGTTCGCGCTGCGGAAAACAATCGTGTCGGTTAGTCACTGCTCTTCTCTCTCCTCGGGCTTTTTGCGCTCCTGGCAAGGTTGCTCTTCGAGCGCACGCTAGTGGGGATGATGGCTGGATTGGGTTAGGTTGTTCAGGGGAGGGGGGTTTCGCAGGCACGCTTCATTTGTTTCGATTTTTTCGGTTCAAGTTGCGCTTGAATTTCGCTACGTGGAAAATCTGGATACTATGTGCTTGTCTATTAGACGAATTATATTATGTATATAGGATGAGTCTGTATGTACAATATTTTAGACTCAGTTTATAGTCTTGGTATAACTATTACAACTATTGGTATAACTGTTAGTATAATTATTCCAGTGAAGGGGGTATTCTTGTAATACGATTTAAAAAATCGATTTTTTTCTTTTAATTTTACATTTTCCCAAAGTATATGGTTTCTAAAATGTCTGTGTAAAAGGATTTGTTTGAATTCGTAAAATTAGCAAGGTTATGGATGTTTAAAGTGGCAAATGATAACCTAAAAATTTCAATAATTATTTTCAAAAGGAATAGTATGCTAAAATGAAATGCCAGTAGTTCTATATTAAATTAATATTAATTTATCATTATATTCGATGATATTGTATATATTAATATTACTATTAATATTAAATAGTTATATTAATATTTAATTAATATTAAATAGTTAAATTACTATTTAATGTTGTATCGTGTAATCAGTATATATAACACCAAGCATTATATATTAAATATCGAAATATTATTTTGCAAAAATTAATTAATGGGATATTGTTATAATCTGGTTTAAAAGCAATTAATTTGTTTTTACATTTTCGCAGGGTATATGCTTTCGAAAATGTCCCTGCAAAAGGATTTATTTGAATTTGTAAAATTATCCGAGTTATTGATGTTTAAAGTGCGACGCGCAGCCATCGTGCAACGGGTAATTAAAATTTCAAACGCGCTTTTCTCGGAACCATGTTTTTTGAACTGGCTGACGGGGTATCTCGCGTTTTAGTCGACCGATTGACTCGAAATTTGGAGGAGATCTTCACTGGATGTACATTTATCACGTGAACCACGGATTTCAAAATCTGATGATTTTTTCTATTTTTGTTTACCCCCCAAAGTTGAAAAAGCAGAAGGAAAATCGATATTTAAATTTCAAAATGCCGCCATTTTTTTAATTTTCGAAATTTCGCTGTCTTTGTGATTTATGTTATAGCTGTATTTATACTAATCAAGATGCTTTTTAGATTTTTCGCTTCAGATTACCAGATGCTCCAGAATCGTGTCGCCCATTCGTGGCTGTTTTTAAAAACACGATGTACTTAAGGCTATATAATTTCCATAATTTTCAATAATTTCGTTGAAAAAAAATTGGGAATGTTCTTCTAGCATAAATAAATTTAAATACGAAAACTGTATGCTAAAAAGTATTATGGTTTCTTTAGAAAAAAAATTCCAAAGAAGCCGATTTTTATTCGTCAAGAATACCCCCTTAAAAGATTGAAGGTGACCTTTATATCTTCATAGAAATGCAAAATCACATAAAATTGATTAGACTACTGTACGCCCCTTTGAAAACCATGCAATATTTATCTGAAACATTTTTTCGTACAACAAATATTTTATGAGTTATTTTAAATAGTCGCGTTATGAGACTCACCCTGTATATACAGGGTGATCCATGCATCATGTGCAACTCTGTAACTTCCAATATATACAATGCACAAAAAAAATGTTATATAACAAAAATTGCGTGGTTTCAAGATATAGATTTTAAAAATCTAATGATTTCATGTAAAATTTTTCAAAAAAAGACAGAAAATTTTTATCAATATATGTTATATTATAAATATAAATACTTAAACATAAATATTTTCCAACATTTTTCAAATATTTTGTAAAATACCTTTTAACGTTCTCTTAATATTTTCGTTCTTACTGTATTTATCAGAAATTGTACTCTCATTTAATTCAGACATATGAGTCGTTCACTGCACAAAACGATGAACTTCACTTTTTGAAAAATCTTAAATTTAAGTGTCAAAGCACTTGGTATAGTCATAACTTTTTCTATTTATAATAACTTTCCCTGATAATTAAGATCAACATCATTAAGCGACAAAAATTTTTTAGCCACTGAATAATAAATAATTTATTTCAGAAGTCACTTTGATGAACTCCGTACTCTAATGTAAATCGTTGCAATAATGCAACTCAAATGCACTAGCAAGCCATGAATGACAACGGTGAATTTTTTAGTACCGTCTTATCAGAATTTAAGTAAAATTTAGTAAAATTTAAATTTATTACTTTTCTCACTTGCCAAATCGATTAACTCTTCCAGTAACATAAAAATGGTAACATTACTAACGATTACCTTTTGGCTATTTTTTCTTATAAATTTTATATACCGCTAGATGAAAGTTACATTCGTATTTATGCATTCTACGATATTTATTTCGATTTAAATTATAAAGGGAATTTTCAAAAATAATATACATTATTTTATTGCATTTCACCACTTTTTGTTTTATGGAGATAATCAATTTGCGCAGTGAGCGGCTCACATATAAAATAATGTAATAAATTTCGAACCATAGAAAACTTTCTGACTACGTTTGCTATGGTACACGGAATGCAATTTATCGTTATTTATTTACTGATTTCAGATAAGATTGTTATCTTCTGATAGAACGTATCGTTACATAACTTAGTAAATACGACACTACTGCATAAAGACTCACAGCATAATTTTTTCGTAAATATTTACTTCCAAAAATTAGTATTATTAACATATGAAAATCCCTGCAACTTATATTAAAAATAAAAATAAAAGAGAGAAAATATAAGTTATTACGAACAAGATTGTATATCTCCATCACTATAACATTAGAAAAATTAATTTTCAAGTGCACCTCTTACTTCAATGCCACTCGTGATAAAATGCAATTATACAGGGTGTTCAAAAATTTTTGTGCCAACAAAATAACTTTCAGATAATTTTTAATATCCTCGAAATAGGATCGAGATAGTTTATATTATTATTATATTATATTTTATACTGTATACTATATACTGTAATTTGAAATATTTTTTAAAAATTTCATTAATTTAAAAATTAATTTTCAACTGCACCTCTTACTTCAATGTCACTCGTGATAAAATGCAACTATACAGGGTGTTCAAAAATTTTTGTGCCAACAAAATAACTTTCAGATAATTTTTAATATCCTCGAAATAGGATCGAGATAGTTTATATTATTATTATATTATATTTTATACTGTATACTATATACTGTAATTTGAAATATTTTTTAAAAATTTCATTAATTTAAAAATTAATTTTCAACTGCACCTCTTACTTCAATGTCACTCGCGATAAAATGCAATTATACAGGGTGTTCACAAATTTTTGAATGCTAGTGCAAGTGCTAATAAAATAACTTTCAGATCATTTTTAATATCTTGGAAATACGATCGAGATATTTTATATTATTATTATTATATTATATTTTATACTGTAATTTGAAATATTTAGAAAATTTCATTGTATTCGTCGAGATACGTCTTCTCATAACATTAGAGCATAATACTTCTTTTTTTCACTTTTATTCGCGAAATATATTAATAACATTACGCGAGAAAATCCTGGAACAGTCTATATAATTTGCTCGAAACCATGGCAGGAGTAATTCGAAGTGTTCCCAGCAGCTATCGTATAACATTTCTCGAATTCACAGTTTGATTGAATCATTTAATGCTCGCATAACCTGGCGTTACAGCCAAGTATATTAATAAATGCAGTTTCCGATGCGTGAAATCACTGAAAAGAGAAACTTCTCTTCCAGAAAGAATGTGAAAACGGTTAATCTTGAACGCGACTTTATAGTTATTTGGCCTAGCAACTTGGCAAATTTAAACCATCGATGCTATTTTCTCTTACAACCCTGTATAATTTATCTTATCTAAATTTCCAATCAACCTAACCTAACCCTATATACTCTGCGATATGTATGCAATTTTTAAAATAGTTAAAATATAGTTAAAATTGCTGGAGATAAAATACTCTTAGTTACGTATAGGGTATTTAAATTTTAAACACTGAATTGAAAAGGAAATAATTAAAATATCTTTCAAAATTCATAAAGGCATAAGATTCATAAAAATGAGATAAAAATTTTAAATAACGAACCTACTTCAAAATTAACAAATCGGCTTGTGAAAAATAAACAATCTTCAAATGATCTGTCATTAACTTAGTATAATAATTTACATAATTCAAAATAATTTTAAACTTAATTTTATTTAAATATATATATTCCAAATATTTTTAAAATTATTATTCTTTTACCATGTGCTATCGGAAATAATACAATAATAAGATTATTATTATTTTATTAATATTTATTCGGAATTGAAAATTTGGAAGCAAATTTTAAATTAATTCTGACTTATAAATATTGAAATAAGTTTTTAATTAATTCTGAATTATGAATATTGAAATAAGTTTTAAATAAATTCAGAATTATAAATTTTTAATAAATTCAGAAATATAATATTTAAAATATTTTAAAAATTAATTTATATTCTTTTATCATCGGAAATAATACAATAAAAATATCATTATTATTTTATTAATATTTATTCGAAATTAAAAATTTGGAAGCAAATTTAAATTAATTCTGACTTATAAATATTGAAATAAGTTTTAAATTAATTCTGAATTATGAATATTGAAATAAGTTTTAAATAAATTCAGAATAAAAAATTTTAACAAATTCAGAAATATAAATATTGAAATAATTTTTAAATAAATTCAGAATTATGAATTTTGAAATAAGCCTTAAATAAATCCACAATTACAAATTTCTAATAAATCCAAAAATATAAATATTGCAATAATTTTTAAATAAATTCAGAATTATAAATTTTGAAATAAGCCTGAAATAAATCCAGAATTACAAATTTTCTAATAAATTTCCAATTAAAAATTCAGC